CATAAATCTTTAATATGCTACATGTACGTTTTCAATTCATTAGTTTGTGTTGCTGTTATTGCTTTTTTTCGGGTTGCTGTTGCCACTCCACTGTTGTTGTTCCCTTAACGTTGTTATTGTTACTATGGTAATGAATTTTTAGTACAATGTCGGCATAGTTTTTCCTTTTCATTGTTATTTAAATGTTGGTTTATTTTTATTTTTAATTTTTTTACTTTTTTTTTGTAAGACAACAACTTTCATAAAAAGTTATTAAATGTGAATTCATTCAGAGAAAAAGGGGTTCCAGTATTTGTTTTAGTTAAAGTGAGATAATTGTTGCATGTTCATGGTTTCAATTATGCTCGCTTACCGTTGCTATACTGCGGACAAAGAGTTATCATAGCTTATATCTTCCGGAAGCATTTACTATTAAGCCATTATTCCATTGAATACTATACCTGATGATATTTTATGTAAATAGGAACTGTCGAACTGGAAGCTCAAATGAAAACGAGTACAAGCCTTTGATGTAAATCATCTTCAATCTACCCTGGGCTGTATGTCAGTCAATAAGCCGACGGCAATTTCTTTCACATTTATTATTCTATGCAAACCCCCTAATATCTTTGCTTCTTTCTTTTCATGTCTTGTTTTTTCTTTTTAAGGCAAGTGTTGCGATATTACTGGCAATTTTTAAAGTTGATCTTTAAAAAGATCAAGAACATGTATCTGAAGGTTTGGCTTTATATCTTAATTGCTGATCTTTGTGAAATTTCAAAATATAACGGACAAACTGACGGACGAAGTATACAGCTAAGTAGCTTTGAAGCGTAGCGGATGAAGCATTTACTTAGCTCGGTTTGAAGGCTCAACGCGTCTGCCTAAAGCAGAATAAAGGAAGAAGTGCATTGGAACTGATTCTGGTGATGGACAGACGGACGGATGAAGCATATATCAATAATTCGGTTTAAAACCCGAAAACGTGAATAGCCCTATGAAAGCTTTATGGGATCCACAGGTTTTACATATCTTGGGCAACTAAATTTTCCGTAAAGATTAAATGGACTCTAGCTTGATGCTTAAGAAAGCGTCAAATTCATGATAAGACATTTTGGGTGATTAGTTTATCAGTTCGTTCGCGACTTTGATACTTGATGCGTGCATAGCATTTTGAACGGATTTCCTTAAAACTAGAATAGCCTCTGTGTGAGGCAAGCCATATATATGTAATCGTTTCTACTAAGTTTGTTTTCACAAAATATTATAGGAATTCATCGCAGGTATGTTAATTACGGGTTCATGTTTTTGAGTTTTTTTTTTTTGTGCAAAGAATGTTTTAATTCATTGAAAGTCCTATAGTGCGATAAGCTTTACCAAGGCAAAGTAAGATCTACCATCTTTTCTAACCACTCTATAAATCATTTGTGGTCATGAACTCAAGATTTCTGCTTAACTTAATACATAATTTAGATAAAGACAGTAAGAGAAGATGTTTGAAACAAGAGTCAAAACTTCTACTTAAACTCCATATATATAAAAAGCTTTACCTTTCTTAGAAGTCAATCATACCGTTACAAATGAACCTTTTAATCAACAAATACAAGAAAAGACTTTTTCCAAACTAAAAAAAAAAAAAAAAAAAAGAATTGTTACAAGCGAAAGTGTCACAAGGGCCAAAAGAATCCCTCCATTATCACTTTTCATTATACAAACAAAGTAAATTCATTCAAACATACTTACACGCATGCGATATTAGCACATATATATATATATATATATATATACATAAGTATGTATATAAAATTTGAAGCATAAAATGCACAGAATTATACATATACATATGAATGAATAAAAACACGTGCTACATACTAAACTAAAGTTGTTTTCTTCTTAAATTCTTTTCAAGTCACCAAAAAAACAAAAGCGAAAAATTTCATTTAAACAGAAACGAATTTCAGATACACGCTATCCTTTTATTATTATTACTAACGATTCTTTACATTATTTGCTGTTGAATTTTACCAACTTATAGTGACGTCTATTAGATAACAATGGTAGAGGGAAGGTTAGGCCAACTGTAGGCGTATACATGTTTTACATTTCTTGTAGAAGACACAGAAGAAAGTTTCCTCTAGAAAACGCTTGAGTACTTTTTCTTTTTTCTTTAAAAGCGTAACCCTTTCGTAAGCTGCGTTTTAACGGATGAAGAGTCCGTTCGCTTCGATGGATGATAGAATGTGCATATGCGTTTTAAACTTTCTTTTCATCAAGTCGTTAGAATTCAACTTAAGAACTTTGATCTTTATATACGTATTTTGACTGATTTCCTATCAAAAAAAAAAAAAAAAATCACATATGGTATTACCGATGCTATTAATCCCACTACTCCTTTGCATAGAATTTTGAATTGATTTAATGTTTCTGATCGTCCGTTCGTTGACAGAAACGTGCATTAGTGTTAGAAATTAGTGTTCGCGGTTTCAAATCTCAAGCGCGGTAGAGTCTGCTTTGATCGTAGCGATACCGAGTGTTTAGTCGGTGAAGGCGTAACATCCACTAGGTTGTAGCTACTGTTACTTTGTCTCACGTTTTTCCCAACGTCACCGTGTTACACGAATAGGGAATATGGAATATGTGTGGTTAGTGTTATTACAAAAAAAAAGTCGGCGCCAAAAGTGAGATAACTTAAAAACATCTAACAATCGATCAAAGTGTATAAAAGGATCTCGGACATTGAACCTCATTCCTAGGTTTATCCAACCTGATGAAGACTCGCAATTTGATTTCAATGGGCGGAGAGTAAAATGGAAATAGTTTTCATAGGTCTATCGACATATCAACGGTTGATAAAATCTACTTGAATTGATGGCGGCTTGACTGGTGTAACAAAATTTCTCTTTACTAACAGGAAATTTCAACTTTTATCGACTTTTACGTCGATCTGTTCCTTCTAAATTTCATTTCAAATGCGTACACTAATCATTATGTTCATACCAGCCATACATAGGCCAGATTTCAAATCAATTCTGTTTGGCTGAAATGTTCAAACGGAATAATAAGCTTTGTTTACCATTCACGCAAACTGGAAAACCGAGAAAATATATCCAGTAAGTAAGCATAGGTGGCACACACATGTGGGTATTTGAGGCAAACAATAAACACCGCCAATTAAATACAAAAAAGCGAGAAAGACAATGAAAAGAAAAACAAAATTGAAATGTTGCTATAAATTCAATATATCTGCTTTATGTTAGTTAAATCGTATATATATATATATATATATATATATATATATATTTCCATTGCAACATTTCCATGAGAACAAACAACATTGCAATAGCGTATGAAGTCAACGTGTTGCCGAAATGCTTCGAAGTAAACAAAACAAATGATTTCCAACTAGAATTGAAAACATTATTGGTTGTATGTGTGCGTTTCGCTACGTGTTTGGTATTTCTTGTTTCTTTTTCATTATTTTGTTTACACATATTTCCTTAAGTAATTCATCATTTTCCCAGTAAACCAGCAACAAATGTTGCCAGAGTGTATGTGCTGACTGGAGCAACATGCGAAATAGATTTATTGGAATGTTTACAAGTATTGAGGTTCGTTGTGAATTCACTGTTAGCGCGTTTGTTTAGTTGTTTTTGAATGAACGTGTTTAATAGACGTGTAGTATTTCAAAACGCTTAAGTCCCCCTCCCGGTTGTATTAATTCAAGCAAAATAAATATATATTTAATTGTACATCTCGTTTTATAATTTTTAAACTTTAATTTTTAACACTTTCTTCCTTCGGAGCTTAGTTGTTAAAAAAGAAATTAAAAAAATACATAAATAGAAGTTTGCATTGCAAAATGAAAAACAATTCCGAACTAAAGTGAATAAATTAAACAAAAAACAAAAAAAAACCGAAGGAAAATTTTTAATAAAAATGTGAAAATGTTTTGGAAAATACGAAGAAAACTGAATTTTTCATAACCAAAGAATTAATTTTATTTGCTAAATTAATTTTAAATATATGTTAAGAATATATTAAAAAAAAAAATAAACAAAATATCAAATTGAGCTTTTGTCCAAGTGTAAAAGAAAAGACAATCATCAATCGTCATAGATTTATAAAAATTCTATTAAAAAGTAAAATTTAAATTTTAAATTCTTATCAAAGCCAACCTTGAACTCTTTTTAAATTCAATTGTGTGAAGCCAGACCAAAAAAAAAAAAAAAAAAAAAAAAAAAACATAAATAAATAAATTAATAAATAATTCATGAAAAATGTCACCAATAACAACAACACTTGATGCTCTATTGAGGCAACTACAACAATGTTGCCCAAAAACTATACACGGTCTTGTTCAAAGTATCAACTCAAGTCGCTGTTGCTTCGTCGTCTTCTCAAATCCGCATACGCACTGATAAACTTTAAATGACCCACAGCGGTTTTGTTGTTTCTTTTTCGAAGTGATAAAAAAAAAAGAAGCGAAATCACAAACAAACAAAAATAAAGGAAATAAGACAAGCGAGCGTCAAATACCTTTTGCCACCATCATCATCATCATCATTATTATTATTATTATTATCATAAGAGCGCAGTGATAACTTACAATAATAACATTAAAAAAAAGTTTCAATTATCATTAAAAGTTTTTTTGTTCCTTTATTTTGTTTTCTCTTTCTTTTTCGAAATAAATTGTTTATGGGTAGAAAACGAAAATTTTCGCGTCAACATCGAAATTTATATTTGCTTTCGCATCTTATTGTTGTTGTGCTTTATTCTACGTTTCTCATCATTCTTAAGCTTCATCAAATTATTACCGTGCAAATCTTTACAATTTTATTTCCTATTTATAAAAAATTCTATCGAAATTTTAAAAATAAATACATTTATCGGAATTCCATAAGAATATCGTGTAAATAAAACAGAAAAGAAGATAAAATTCCTTCAAAAACTGTAAATATTAAAAAATAATCAACCAAATAAAAATTTTAATTAAATTATTTGTAAATTTTGAATAAAATCTTCAAAATATTGTGATATTAATTTAAAACAAAACAAAAAAAATAAATAAATAAATAACACGAAATCATATCTTCTAAACGAAGAAGAGTATTTTAAACTTTCCAACGCTAGTTAAAGAAATTATTCTCCACGAATATATCTACTGCTGAATATCAATCAATTCACCAACCTAAGGTAAGGCTACACTTCCAAGTCGCGAAAGTAAAGAAAACGATAATGAAAAAGTGCCTCAAATTTATTGATCAACCCGTTAGAGCGCAGTAGAGTAATCGTCCACTTTTCGCTCTCGTTACACGGCAGAGTTCTGCTTAATGTTTTTAAATAATTTCCGATCTCTATAACAAGTAGTTTATCTATAGTTCTGGTTTATTGCAATTTGATGTCAGAATATTTTCAGTAGCGAGAATTAGTTAATTGAAACGCCCGCGGTAAAGCAATCGGTGAAGTTTTTCTTTTTCTTTGAATGATTTAAACCTATTTATTGTTCTACTAGAGCTATTTATGTAATTTAGTCTTGGAATCGCTTTTAATATGTAACTAGTTAGCTGTGTGCGTCGTCATCCGTCCATCCGTCCGCATCATATTTTATCATTATGATTGTGTGTTTCTCATATTAATGTATTTTAGCAAAATATGTTTGTCATTTTATCAATTCGACCTAACAGTCAGCGTTTGACGAATATACGAGTAAATCGCTAAAGAACTCGACGCAGTTAACTAAATGAGAAGTCTAAGAGGGTTTACTTAAATATTGTATTGTTCGCTAACGTATCAAGAAGGTTTCAAAAAGTCATTGCTTACTCTACGTTTTCGTAAACCAAACCACACAGAAATGGTGCAAAGTGTTCAAGGTTTGCGCTGCGAAATGATTGAATGTTTCCTTTCAAGCACTGAATCAATGAAGTAAAGTAAATTCTGCTCCATAATCTCTATTCTTCATTTCATTTCTCGTCTCGATTAATTGAATCTATTTCGCTTGAAAATCGGAACGTAAGCGCTGGGAGAAGAACAGCATTTCCATTGTTATGGCATACGTTTTGCTTAATCTAGAAATGTTCCGAACTTCCTAAAAAAAAAAAAAAAATGAGTTTCCTAATGGATACGCTTTCGACTTCCTCTAATGACCCTTCGATCCAATAGAATCAAATTACAATAGAATCGAAACTTAAAAAGAATTAAAAAAACAAATCGAAAAAAGTCCGAGATGGAAGAGTGCGGACAAACAATTCCTATACGCAATATGCTATGACATTGTTTAACTTAAGAATTAAAAACGAATAATTTTATCGACCTTAGCACGGAATCTTTACTTCGTCTGTTCGTCATAGTTCTTAATTTCTACGTTGGGATCATAATTTGTGTTTCACATTGAAGAAGAAATATTCAATCGACTTCTATCAAAAACAATTTCCACAATTACCACGAAACTAAAAGTGTGTTGTTCAAAAAGTCATTTCGTCTCTTTTTTTCTAAAAAGACTGTAATTGCATTTTCTCACAGACAAATTCATTGTCAATTGAAACAAATCAACGACAAACCAAAAGGCGTTAACTGAAGCAAACCGTCGGAAAGCAACTCATGAGGTCGCTAAGACCTCGTGATTACGTGAAGCGCTTTAATCTTTCATTTTCAGCAAGAAATGACTTTCTGGACAATCCAATAATTAATTTTCGCATATTTTCTTTCAAAGAGACTTAACAGGGGCTATAGCCTTGTGGTGTTTGGTTTTTTTGCTGATCAACGAAGGAGCGACTCTTTTGAGAGCAATCATGTTAGAGGTGTAGGATACCTTTGAAAAAACTGTTATTATCCTAAGGTAGTGTTTGAAAAGACGTTGTTATAGTTTTTGGATATGCCTATGGATCTAAAGTTTCATACTTTGATCTATATTTAGTTCATAATTCGCGTAAAAGTTGCGGTTATGTTCAATAAAATGCATAAGAGGTGCTTACCATTGCGTATAGTTCTTACAATTATGATTTTTCCGTGGCATTAACGTAGACATTCAGGGAAATATGCTTGATCCATCTTTCAGTGAGCTGTAAAAAGAGAGAAACTATGACGTTATTTGAAATCGGATTAGAAATATTCTGTGAGGGAGGCATAATCAGAACGTCATATTGAATATACAATGAATGCTACAACATTTACGAATTTTTCAACAAATTATTGTAAAATGAAATGAATAGAATATGGTTTGAAATTTCAGTGCTATAGCATCCATATTCGCGAACGTGTGAAATTATTTGAGAAAATTTATTTTGAAATACCCCTCGTTCAAAAACTAAGACCAATTTAATTTTTTTCTTTTGAAATCTATTCATCATTCTGAATCTACTTCGTCGCCTTCAATGTAATCCTCAAAATCCAATAATATTCCTTATTAACAGTTTGGCCCGCCGGACGTAATTCATAGTGCACAACATCAAGCTAATGGAAGAAAACTATTCACATTACCTTTATTTTTGAGCGACTTTAGAGCGCTTTCTTCGGTCTTGGCAGGGTTTTTGCACAGTATTTGCTCAATAATCTGCTTTATGACCGGTTGGTAGTCAAGACTCATCTCTTCACGCACGTATTGCAAATAATCGGAAAAAATACTTTTGTGTCGTACAGAAGCAAGCGCAGTTCAAACACTATTCACGTTTATGACACACACTGTTGGCACACATGGCTGCCACAGTGCTACCGATTTAAAAAAAAAAAACCTTTTCCGATATTTGATGTAATCGTACAATTTGAATTAAATGTTGATCTCTCTTTTTGGGCACAGAATCATATAGACAAACCCCTAGGTCTACAAGGAGTCTCACATCGTTCGAGACTCCGAAAAATTTTATGGAAATTTTGTAGTATTAGAAACGGAAGAAGATAACTGCCTAAATCACATCGCTCGATGAGAGAGAAATGCAGACTTTATTATACATATATAAGAACAATTTTCCATAGTTACTGTATAGTAATGCCCTAAAATGCATAAGAATTTCCTTCTCTTGTATTTTTAAAATTTTTTACTTTTCTAAAAACCTGCATTTTTCTAATCCATTCAAAGTTTTGCAATTATGGCAGTGATGTTTTGTTTAGTAATGGTTGCACGAAAACACCGCCCTTATCAATTGTCCGCCATCTTGGATGCAAAAGAAAGAGAGAGCAACAAGACGATTTTGCAGTTGCGTAGCGTTTTACTTTGTTCTAGAATTCGTTCGTTCTGCAGAGATATATTTACGTAATTTTCGAAATTTATTTCTTAAATGCGAACATAAATAAAACCAGATAATGGTAAAATTATTTGAGTGGTTAGTACCTATTGGATGCGAAGGAGCTTAAAACGACCACGGAAGACAAAATCGTTTCCTATTAAAAAACGTGTCCCATTGACTGCTTGACAACCTTTTTCTTGTCCTTCGGAAGGCCCTTGCTTGGCTACTACAAGCTCTAGCCTAATGACGCGTAGATATTTAAAATTTTGTGTGGTTGACTGTTTTTGTAGCCGAATCTCTTCTATTTTCGGACTCATTTCTCACTTTATATAAATAAAACCTTCGAACGAAACCTTCGCAATATTGAAGCATTACGAGAACAATGTTGGAACTTGGAACTGATCAAAAATATTCTACTTGGCTTAGTGAGAGTTATTAAGTCCGACCGTCTGCCCATCTATCCGTTCTATTTTTCGTTTCTGACTTCAAAGCAAATGTTTAACATAAACTTAAATTCGCCTTCTTGATGCTTCTGAAATAAAAAAATCTGCCATTTTAGGGGCTAAATAAAACCGATGCCAAATTTTGCTTATTATACTTTACAGAAATCTTTAATCTAAAACAAATCATGAATGTCTGATAACTGTTGTTCGTTGTCATTGCCCACAAACTGTGATCAATTGGTCTCGAATGGATTAAACACAACGGTATAGAATCGTTCATCGCTCCGCTTTTGCTTGGCCGCTAAAAGGGGGCAAAATGTCTTGATTTTTGCTGCAAGGGTTACAATCTTCGCAGGTTTTCGTTAAAAACCATAAACTGTTGTGCACTAAGAAGGATAAGATATATAGCACTTCCACTTCAGATTAATTGCCTTGGATATTGTAGGTCTCTCCCTAGGTATCGCAAAGGATCTGTTATAGCCTCCGTAGTAAGCCTTAATGCAGTGCAGACTATTAGTTCATTCTAAACTACCCGATTCAATGAATTTGTAACGAAAATTGTAAAATATGTAGAAAAATGTTTTCCCTCTCACTGTTTAGCGTACGGTATAAGGTTTGAGTTTGTTGTCTTTTATATGAAAAGTGAAAAAAAGAAAAAAATGCAAATCTTTTAAATCCACACGAGAATTTTTTCTCTTGACTGTATTATATTTCTTTTTGTGAATATTTACATAATTTTCTTGGCATAATGTTTAAATAATTATCGATAAATCTTGTATAAGATTTATAATAAATTTTATGTATTTTATGCGTTAGTTAAATAGACGGCGAGCGGCATAGTATCACATTAGATTTTCTAGCATAAATTTTACTTTTACGTAAAATTCAATTTTCAAATGTATTTTCAAAACTAAATAATCTAAAAAATATTGAGCCCCGTAGCCAATAGCTACTCTTAATAGCGAAGGTGTGTGGATATACGCGGCTTCTGCACAGGTCGTAAATAGTATCTCCGATATCGATTTATGCAGATTCTGCCAAGAGACGAGCGAAATGTCCCGTTCTACCTTGCACCAATGCAAGACCATCGGCAGAATCAGAGATGAAACGTTTAGCGAACACTTTATAACGTCTGATAAAATACTATCCTCAGGACGAAAGAAAGCGGCGGGATTGATAAGAATCGTAAAACTGTAAAGCTAAAGACATGAGCTGGTACAATAGGTCTTTTAGGTCGCAATACGGACTGCCCATATATATGGATAATAATATGGATATATTACCAACATATTTGCGTAATGAAAGAATGTATAATGATTTCGTAAGAGCTCAATACTTTTTTTTTGTAATTATAATACATAAAAATGAGCTTTTCTTTCACTTACAGAAACGATACACAACCTGTCAATAGTAAATACCTGCCAAGAATAATTTGCATATATATGTCATTAGAATAATGCCGATAATACGAGAACTAATACGTATAATAACCAAACACCAATAAATGTATATTCGGTGCGATAGTAGTCTC